TGCACCATTAAATGAATTTTGTGCACAACATGGCATTATTCACCAAACTACAGCCCCTTATTCTCCACAGCAAAATGGAATTGCTGAAAGGAAGAATAGAACTCTAAAAGAAATTATGAATGCCATGTTACTAAGTTCAGGCTTACCACAGAACTTGTGGGGGGAAGCAATATTGTCTGCTGATTATGTTCTTAACAGAATACCCCACAAGAAAACCAACAGCACTCCTTATGAGTTGTGGACAAGTCGACCGCCTTCCTACAATACTTAAAAGTGTGGGGGTGTTTGGCAAAAGTTAAAGTTCATGTTCCTAAAAAGACTAAGATTGGACCCAAAATAGTAGATTGTGTGTTTATTGGTTATGCTTAGAATAGTAGTGCATATCGATTTCTGACTTATAAATCAGAAATACCTAATATAAATGTGAACACTATTATAGAGTCAAGGAATGCTGTGTTTTTTGAACATGTCTTTCCTTACAAGAAAGGACAGGAATTAAGTTCACAGAAAAGAACTTATGATTGTACACAAATTCAAGAGACTAATGACAATCAAACACAAGAGACTAGTAATGGTCTTGACCAATAAGATTTAACTGATAATGAACCAAGACGAAGTAAGAGAGCAAAAACATCAAAATCCTTTGGTCCAGATTTCCTAACATACCTGCTAGAAAATGAACCTCAAAGCTTTAAGGCAGCAATGATAGGTCCTGAAGCACCTTTGTGGAAAGAGGCTGTTAATAATGAAATTGAGTCCATTATGCAAAATCATACTTGGGAATTGGTGGATCTTCCATCAGGTTCTAAACCTCTTGGATATAAATGGATATTCAAGAGAAAAATGAAAGCAGATGGTTCAATTGACAAGTATAAAGCAAGACTTGTAGTTAAAGGTTACAGAAAAAAGAAAGGTCTGGACTATTTTGACACATATTCCCCTGTGACAAGAATAAGATCCATTCGCATGCTTATTGCTATAGCAGCATTGTTTAAATTAGAAATACATCAAATAGATGTTAAGACAGCTTTCTTAAACGTGATCTAAATGAAGAGATCTATATGGAGCAACCTGAAGGGTTTGCAATGCCAGGGCAAGAAAAGAAAGTTTGTCGACTTGTAAAATCTCTTTATAGATTAAAACAAGCACCTAAGCAATGGCATGAAAAATTTGATCATGCAATTCTTACTAATGGGTTTAAGATAAACGAATGTGACAAGAGCGTCTATGTTAAAAATACTGACCAAGGATATGTCATAGTTTGTCTTTATGTGGATGACATGTTTATCATTGGAAGTAGTCAAAACATAATCAAATCAACTAAGCAAATGCTTAACAGAAGATTTGAAATGAAAGATATGGGGATCGCAGCTATTATATTAGGAATGAAAATTACTAAAACATCTGACAGATATGCATAATCTCAATCACATTATATTGAGAAAATTCTTGATAAATTTATCAAGGATGAAATGAATTTAGCTAGAACACCTGTAGATGTCAATCTTTACTTATCAAAAAATAAAGGTGATGCGGTGTCTCAGTTAAAATACTCCTAAATCATTCGAAGCCTAATGTATCTAATGAATTGTACTCGTCCTGATATAGCTTATGCTATCAGTAAATTGAGTATGTACACTAGTAATCCCGGAGAAGACCATTGGAAAGCGATCATTCGGGTTCTTAGATATCTAAGTTTTACTCATGATCATGGTTTGAACTTTACTCAATATCCAGCAGTACTTGAAGGTTATTGTGATGCCAATTGGATATCGGATACTAAAGATTCAAAATCCACTAGTGGATATGTCTTTACTCTGGGAGGCGCTGCTGTTTCTTGGAAATCCACGAAACAAACATGCATCGCATGATCCACAATGGAATCCGAATTCATTGTTTTAGACAAAGTAGGAGAAAAAACAAAATGACTTCGTCACTTCTTAGAAAACATTCCAATGTGGCCAAAACCTGTGCCAGCTATTTGTATTCATTGTGATACTCAATCTGCAATAGGTAGGGGCACAAAATCATATGTATAACGGTAAGTCACGACATATTCGTCGTCGACATAATACCACAAGGCAATTGTTGTCAAATGGAATAATCTCAATAGATTATATAAAATCTAAAGAGAATATTGCGGATCCGTTAACAAAAGGTTTGACAAAAGAGCTAGTGTATAGTTCATCGAAGGGAATGGGATTAAAGCCTATTACATAAGAGTCATCATAATGGTAACCCTACTTATATGACTGGAGATCCCAAGAACTAAGTTCAAAGGGACGACTAAGTTATGTGTGGCTCGCCCGAAATCACCAAGGGATTAAAATTCCCTACCCATTCCTATGGTGAGAGGGATAGCTGCAACATATGTTGTATGCAGAGGTATAAGGATAAGCTTTGCTTTTAATGATTACTTATATCTTGATTGAGGCATAAAATCAAGACGAGTATAAGGAGATACCCACAATAAAAATCACCTATATGAGTGTTTAACTGGGGTCGGTTCTATGAGAATGAAAAATGCTAAATTCTCTAGAAACACTCATGAAAACCAGGAGCGTTCAAGGCCAAAATGAACACAACAGTGAGAACCACGATGTGTTAGAAGATATTTTGTGTGAAATCTATTGTCTTGGCTTACACAAACGGCTGAACAATTCAAGGCATCGCGTCCATTGGTTAGCCAGAAAGTTAGATAGGTTATCACTAGGGAAGGTTCAAAGCCCGAAAGCTACCTATCCCGATGCAAGATATTTTCAACTTATACTCTTTCGATAAAGTCTTCATATTGTTGCATTTCCATTGTCACCAAATTCCATTCATGTGGGGGATTGTTGGAAATGGTTGGAAAATTTTGGGTAAAACCAGAATTTTTTCCTAACTTTGGTCTATTATTTAGGCGGGACCCGTGCGTCGATTTTCGCGAGTCAAAGTTGTAACGCGTTCTATGTCGCGTTGAGATTCACGTGGTATATTTGGTTGCTCAAAACCATTATTGAGTGAATAGGAAATTGAAGCCAAAGTGTGCTCCATGAAAATGGAGTTTTGGTGGAAAATCCATAAAGGTTGAAAAGTGGCTTGTCCCACATTGATTTGGTGGGAAGTTTTGAATGGCTTTATAAGGCATGGGATTGGAACTTGGGGTGTGCCCCAAGGGGTACCCCAAGTTTGTAAAAGGGAGAGGTTATGGGCAAAATGGGCTAAACCCATTGGATCCAAAAATCACCACACACGCGCGCGTGCGCCGCTGCCGCCGTCTGTCCGGTTGGGCAAGCTAGGCTGGGCTTGGGCGCAGGTGCGTGGTGTGAGGTTGGGTTGGGCTTGTCCGGCCCAATACTAATCTTTTTGGGCAAAAAATATTTGAATTCAATTTATTTTTGATAGAATAAATTCTGTCCAAATTTAAAGTTTAATTTTTGAATTCAAAATTTTATTTGCATCTCTTCAGAAATTCTTTACAGGTTCGGATCTGTCCAAAACCGAATTCGTTTGGTTCAAATTTAAATCCACCCGAACAGATTTGAAATTCAAACAGATTCGGTTATCTATTTAAATTCAAACCAAAAAGGTACAGTACCTGTTCAAATAGGTATGCTACCTGTTCAATTCAAAATTAAAGGGTGTCATTACTTCTATAAATAGACCAGCCCTTATTTGATCAGATTCACTAATTTTCGTCCATCTTTTGCTACAAATCATCTCTGCATTTTGCTGCATTTATTCCATTATTTTTCTGTGTTAAAGAGTGTATACACTAAGTGTATTCGTTGAACAAATAAATTGTAGTGCTGCATTTATTTGTTGTTGATCATTTTATCCTGGGAGATAGACGTCCATATTCTGAAAGCACCGTAAAGAGGACGAATCTGTCTTAAGGACACAGTGTCAAATAATGGACTTGATCAGATTATTATTCGAAGAAATTAATCAAGTAAGTTGTTTAATTTATTATTCTGTTTTATTTGTTTATTAAATCAGATTTTAATTTTGTTTTTGTAACAAAATAAAATTTGTTTTTATTTATTTTATTCTATTTCTTGTTTGTTTTTGTAATCAAACTTTCTCTCTCCTTTCCTTTATTTCTTTTATATTCTAGTTGTTGTTAAGTACACAACAGAATTAATTTATTTTAATTACAGTGAAGATTGTCCAACATTATAAAATTTACATTTTAACCTCCGAGTTGAATATATTGATAAAATATTATTTTTGAGAATTCATTTAAGACATGGATACAAAAATTTTCTGAAAACACAAGATCTAAATGGAAATTTGAAGTGTTTGTTCTTCAAAGTAAATCCATTTTAGTAGATAAAGATTAAAATATTAATTCTTAATAATGTCACCTTTTCTTTTCTTTTTTCTTCATTTCTTCTTGTTAATACAGACAATAAAAGGAACGCAAAGAAATATAACAAAAATCAAAGCAAATAGTCGGAGAGAGAGAGAGAGAGAATGCTTTTTGACAAGAACATTTAACGAAAAATAAATAAATTTAGAATATTTCTAACACTGTCTTTTTGCTAAAAAAAGGAACTATCTAATAAAAATAAGGGTAAATTATAACACACCTTCAAAATTTATTTAAATGCAAATTGTCTGTTACGATTTTGAAAATTACATTTCACCATTTCAAATTTCTAATCGCGTAACAAATGTTTTCTTTTATTAATATATCATTAAGTCAGTGAAAATGTTTTAATGATATTAAAAATATATTTCAATTAACAATTTTAATAATTTGATTGTTCTATAAAAGAGTAATTAGAAATTTTATTTTTGTCTATTACTAATTTCGTTAAATAAAAAAATTTGTATTTGTAATTTTCAAAATCATAAAAGACAATTCGTATTTTAAGCAAATCTTTAGAGCGTATTTAAAATCTATCCTAAAAATAAATACAATTTAGATTAACAATAACTGCAGTTGCAATAGTAACAATTCAAGACAATTTTTTCTAACATGATTACATCAAATGCAAATCCTATCTCACTAATACAATCCCCCTCACAACTTAATAGCAATGTGAAACTTTTTTTTACCATATAAATGTTTTTAAGAATTGGTAAGCAACATCATGTTCTTGAATTCCTCAAAATCAAGCATCCCATCAGAATTTGTGTCGTACACTTTAATCATGTTCATGCTATCCCCGCTACAATGCTCTTTCCATAACCCTAATCGCAACAACACGTCCTGAATCTCCTCGCATGAAATGAAGCCATCACCGTTCAAATCATACACCTTGAAAGCCTTAGTCAGATCACTCTCCAAATCCTTATCTACTTCACCCACTTCATTTTGATCATTATTAGTGTTTTTCTTGACGATGGTGTCATAAAAGAACAAAAAGCCAAGAAGATCAAGGCTCATTTTGCCCACTAACGACTCGAGTTCGTTTAGGCTAATTTGAATCTCGATTTTCTCAAGAAGGCATTTGAGCTCGTTGAGGCTCACGAAGCCATCACCATTTTGGTCAAGCTTTTGGAAGATTCGGTGCAAGTCATCGGTATTAAGAGGAGACATGTTGGTGGTGTAGAGAGAGATCAAAAAAACACAAAGCAATATGTTTTTTTGTTGTTGTTGTTGTAGCTACATATTCTGCATTGAACTAGAAAAGGGTATATATCGAGAGTTTTGAGGAAATCTATGTTGTCTTTCGTCTTTTGGACAGTTAAGGTAAGGAATCAATTGAAGAATGTTATTGTGGTTGAGAATTGTACAGAAGTTTTTCACCAAGGTTCCTTGAGGAAGATAGATGAAATGAACATAGATTTGTATATTCTTACTAAGCACACCTAAATTGATGCCCTAATTACAGAAATTACTAGCTCATCACTTCATGATGACAGAAAATCCAACAAAGTACTAAAATACCATATTTGACTCAAAAGTCAATCTTAGAAACTATTTATAATTATATATATATATATATATAATCAGGATATTTTAAATGTTAAATTCAATTTAAAACTAATAAAAATATTATTTTCAAAAAGCATGCCTGCACAGCATCCTATTTTACTTTTAAGATAATTATTGACTATTATTTAGTGTGTTTGGTTTCAGTTTTTTGAAAATTAAGTTTTTTATTTTTTTGTATTTTTTTGTTTTTAGTGAATATTTTTTAAATTTTAAGTAATTTTTTTTACTTTTTTAGATGTGCCTTACATAGATGTATCTAAATAATAAAATATTTATGAAAAATTATTTTAAAAAATTAATAAATACACAAAAATATAAAAAATGTACTGAATTTTCGTATTTTTTTGGTATTTAGTATATTTCTTAAAGATTTTTTTCACAAATATTATACTTTTTAAGTGTATTTATGTTAAGTGTGTCTAAAAATTAAAAAAATTCATTGAAAACATTAAAATACGGAAAATAAAAAATTAAAATTTTCTAAAAATTATTTTCTGAAAACTATAACCAATAATAAAAAATTCATTGAAAACATTAAGTTTCGTTGTAAACAACTAAAGTCTTATTTTCTAACTTCTTCTTTTTTTCTTTTCTTTTTTTGTTAAAGCTGATATAAAAAAAAAAAATCTTATTTTTTTTATAAATTGTTTCCAAAAAAATTCAATTCTTCATAATTGTGTATTTTATTCCATTTTTACCCTTCTCAATAAAATATGAGCAAAAATATCACAAATAATTTAATTTATTTAAATTTTATAATTAAAAATACTTTTAATTGTTTAAGTTAAATAAATTTTCATAACCAAAAGCATAAGTATAAAATTTAACAATTATATCACGCATTGGGAAATATATAAATTCACCATGGTATCATTTTTCATCTCTCTATTGAGAAATAAGTTTTAGCACGGTAAAAAATAACACGTTGAGCAATTTTTGTCTTTTTTTTTTTCGTAAGTAGAAAAGCAAGTTTATTAATTTTCAAAAATATAAAAAATCTTGATTGCTGATAATTGATTTTTTATATTGATTTATTACATCAATCTATACAAAAATAATGGGAAAGAAGCCATTAAAGTTTGGAAAACATATACAGCTTGTGACAGCAATTGTAACTCTTGAAAACACAAAGGCCAGCTAGTCACGAGGCTGGAATTAGTTGAGTACTTATTTAGACTCTTAACACGGAGATTAGGGTTTAATGATTACACAAAACAAAATTTGATTATTTTTTTGTTAAAGCTGATATAAAAAAAAAAAAATCTTATTTTTTTTATAAATTGTTTCCAAAAAAATTCAATTCTTCATAATTGTGTATTTTATTCCATTTTTACCCTTCTCAATAAAATATGAGCAAAAATATCACAAATAATTTAATTTATTTAAATTTTATAATTAAAAATACTTTTAATTGTTTAAGTTAAATAAATTTTCATAACCAAAAGCATAAGTATAAAATTTAACAATTATATCACGCATTGGGAAATATATAAATTCACCATGGTATCATTTTTCATGGCTCTATTGAGAAATAAGTTTTAGCACGGTAAAAAATAACACGTTGAGCAATTTTTGTCTTTTTTTTTTTTCGTAAGTAGAAAAGCAAGTTTATTAATTTTCAAAAATATAAAAATCTTGATTGCTGATATGTCATTAATTGATTTTTTATATTGATTTATTACATCAATCTATTAAAGTTTGGAAGACATAAACAGCTTCTGACAGCAATTGTAACTCTTGAAAACACAAAGGCCAGCTAGTAACGAGGCTGGAATTAGTTGAGTACTTATTTAGACTCTTAACACGGAGATTAGGGTTTAATGATTACACAAAACAAAATTTGATTATTTGGACTCTATTTTTAATTAATTATCTAATTTGATATAATTTTCTTAATATTTTTAAATAATTTTCTATCAATTGACCAAAAAATACATGGAAAGGTCACAATTCTTGATTTTATCCTCCTATTTAATTACACTATATGACATAATTCTAGCAAAAAGAGGTGGCTAAATCAAAGTCATTTAATCTGTGGTCTAAAGCCTTTAATATATATATATATATATTCTTATTACACAAAATTTCAATTTTTAGAAGTCTAATAAAATAAGATTTAACCTAAAGTCTCAACAAACTTTATGCGGCTACTCCAATTGTAAAATTCATAATCTTGGAATAATATAGGGAGGGATCAAAATAAGGTCTTCAACTACTAATATACCCCTTAAACAAGATTTCATTTAGCTTATAATTTTTTCATATAGTAATTATTTTTAATTGAAAGTAAAACTTTTTGATATGACACAAAATCAAAAAATATTATGACTTTTTTTTGAAAAAATTTAAGTAATTTTCTGAATTTTTTAAACTAAATTAACTACTTGTCAAAATTCTTGTGGTTTCAATCACAACTAGACACATTGCGATAGATAATAATGAATGGCTTAGATCTAACTTTAAAATACTAATGTCAAAACAATACCGTTTTGTTTTTCTTTTTCTTTTTTTTTAAATAAATAAAAATTTAAGCTGGTCAAAAAAGGGGGCTTTCAGCATGGGCCGGATTTTTCTGCGAATTTTTAATTTAATTTCAATCATTTCGGTGATACAATTTCATATTTTATTCTATTCTTAAACATTCCTACCCTATAATTTTCCCTACGCTATTAATGTTTTCTCAAATCTTTTTTATAACAAATACAATTGAATCGGTTAACTTTACCATCCCATATACAGTATTTTTTTTTTTTGACGAACTACTCTTCTATTTTTGTTTTATTTGTTTTTTAAAATTTTTAAATCAAAATCACGCTATTTTGAAATTAAAAATTAAATCTAAGTCATTAATGATTGTATTCGTTTGGAGAGTTCGAAGTTTTAATTAAAAAATTAAAAAGTCATAATAAGGAGTTATAATAAATTAATTGGAGGGTGTTATTGGACCTTCATGGACACACCATAAAACCCGCATCGATAATATAAATCATTCAAGTTGTAGGACTCATCGAGTGCTTTATTTCTACAAAAAAATCATGTTAATTGGATATTAATAACCACTTGATCAGATCATATTTGTATTAATAATATTTTTTAAAAATCATATATATCGTTGACACAAATGTGATCTAATCAAGTGATTACCGATATTTAATCAACGTGATTTTTTGCAACAATAAAGTACTCACGAGTTTTACAAATCAAACGATTTAGATTATCGACGCGAGCTCTATGGCGGGTCTACGGAGGCCTAACAATACCCTTCAGTCTGATATGAACTGAAGATATATCATCTCATAAGTTATCACATTATTCTCTCTACTTTTATATTTTTTTTTTCATAAAAAATTAAAAAATAATAATAATTAAAATAATCAATTCCCAATTGCGACTAAAACCATAACGAGAGCATCACAGAGAATCCCAACACTCGTGTTCAAAATGGACCAAGTGCCTGATGCCATGGGCTACACACCCTCTTCACAGACAGTGCGATTCTCACTTCTCTCTCCCTCCCTCCCTCCCCCTCTCTCTCTCTCTCTCTCTCTCTGTGCATATACATATACTTATCAAGAATTGAATGTATGCTTTTAAGCGTATGAATGTAGAACATGTACCATCCATTGTTTCTGACTTCCCTTGCACCAATCTTCAACCCTTCTTATAGTTTTTTATCAAATTTAATTTTGATGAAAAAAATGGCTAAAATCTGCTCTTTAACATTTTATCAAATCAAAGGGATCAGCAATTTTTTTTAGCAAATCAATAACTAAATCCTTCACCAAATTCTTAACATTCATATTTTTATTTAGATTTGATGAAATTTTAATAAAAGTAAAGATTGGAGTTCTGTTTTCTTTAATCAAAAATGGTTATAATAAGTTTTTCCTTTTTTTTTTTATGAAATTTTAATAAAAGTAAACATTGGAGTTCTGTTTTCTTTAATCAAAAATGGTTATAATAAGTTTTTCCTTTTTTTTTTTTTTTTTGGTTGATAAATTTGAAAATTTCCAATAAGATTTTGTGGGGACATATTTTGTAAATGACAGCACGTGGCCAAAGTGACGCCAAAGTATCAACCGAGGTGCCACGTGGCCTGGTTCTGACGCTGAGGTAATCTTGGCTAAGCCGAGGTTATCTACGGAGATATCGGAATCCGGGATGAATGGATAAGGGACAAGAGTCCTAGAACAGGGGAGGATCTCAGTCTGGATAAAGATAAAGCTCTTAGGGAGTTTATCTCTATCAAGCTGGGAGTTCAAGATAAGCATTGAGCCAATGTCCATTGAAGCTAGGCTTCTACAGGGATCAGGTTAATGCTAGTTATAAAAGTGAAGCACCCTCGTGGGTCTAAGGTATGCTTTTTATGCTCTATCTAGTGAGTTAAACACTATGGGCTATCTTTGAGAGATAATTACTAACTTGATCATCGGAATGCCCCTGGGTAGACGAACTAGCGCCGGATTCTTATCTTTCTGTAACAAGTTGTTCGGGCTTAATCTATTCTACCGGTGCTCTCCTGCTGAGTTTCCCTATTTGGTTGTGCGGTCAAAAATCAACACCCACAATTTGGCACTGTCTGTGGGAAACTTAAGGAGAATAGACTGCCAATGACGGGCAAAAAGAGAAGATTGGGGACGACATCCCTAGTGGGAGTGGTAAACACGCCGATCCTAACGTGTAGGAGGAGAATTGTAATGAAAAACCTTGGGATCAGAATCCCAGGGAAAAGGAGTTCAACCAAGAAGGAAACCCACCAAAGAAAGCAGGTCGAGACGAGTACTATAACAAAACTATTTGGTTGTGTGGTCAAAAATCAACACCCAC